AAGAGATTGAGGAAGACATCAGAAGATGGAAAGACCTCATGCTCATGGATTAGAAGAATTAATATTATGAAAATGACCATCCTACCAGAATTCATTTATAGATTCAATGCAATGCCAGTCAAAATCCACATGACGTTTTTCACAGAATTGGAAAAAAAAACCCTAAGATTCATATGGAAGCACAAAAGACCTGGGATAGCCAAAGCAACCCTGAGCACTAAGGGCAATGCTGAGGGATTACTATACCAGATTTTAATCTGTGTTACAGAGCTATAGTCATAAAACAACATGGTACTGGCACAAAAATAGACCCATAGATCAATGGAACAAAATTGAAGACCCATATATGAGTACATGCAATTTCAGCCAACTGATATTTGACAAAGGGGCCAAGAACATTCATTGGAGGAAAGACAGCATGTTCAGCAAATAGTGCTGGCAAAGCTGGATCTCCACCTTTAGAAGAATGAAAATAAACTATCTTTCACTGTGGACAAAAGTCAATTCCAAATGGATCACAGACCTCAATACAAAGCCTGAAACTCTGAAACTTTTAGAAGAAAACATTGGCCAAAACCTATAAGATATGGGTGTAGGAAAGGAATTTCTAAACTGGACATCAATTGCTCAGGAAACATGATCAAGAATCAACAAATAGGACCTCATTAAACTAAAAAGCTTCTGTACATCAAAGGAGGAAACCATGGAACTGAAGGGAAAACCCACAGAATGGGAGAAAATCTTCACCAGCAACACATCTGACAAAGGTTTAACATCCAGAATATATAATGAACTCAAAATCAGAGAATCAAGTCAGGAAGTAACCCAATTTAAAGATGGACTAAGGAGCTGAACAGAGAGTTCTCAAAAGAAGAAGTCAAGATGGCTAAGAAGCATCTTAAATAAAGTTTGACATCACTAGTAATTAGGGAAATGCAAATTAAAACCACTTTAACATTTCACCTCACCCCAGTCAGGCTGGCTAAGATCAAAAAAACAAATGATACCAAATGTTGGAGAGGATGTGGGGAAAGGGGAACACTCATCCACTGCTGGTGGGGCTGCAAACTGGT